CGAACTCCTGAAAATGTTGAACGCGTTCGACAGGTCTTTCTTCGCAGTACGACTCGATCTGCCCGGAAACATGCTGCTGCACTTCGCCTTAGTGATCGTTCGGTAAGGCGAATTTTGCATACGGATCTCCGCTTTCACCCCTACAAATTGGCCATTGTGCAACAGTTACAGCCCGGAGATTATGCACAACGAATGAACTTCGCACGTGAGATGGAAGTACTGATCGATCAAAATGAGAACCTCATTTCGTTTATGAGTGACGAAGCCCACTTTCAGCTAAACAGCATGGTTAACCAGCAGAATTGTCGTTATTGGGCTAATGAAAATCCGTAACAGTTACACGAAAGACCTGCACAGCCCAAAAGTAACGGTTTGGTGCGCTGTATCGCAAACTTGCATCATTGGCCCTTACTTCTTCGAAGACGGTAATGGTCGTGATGTTACGGTGAACTCAGAGCGCTACGTCGACATGATCACCAACTTCTCTCTCCCTGAATTACGACGGCGACGTGTTCCAATCCGACGTGTGTGGTTTCAGCAGGATGGGGCGTCCGCCCACACAGCCCAAGCATCCATGAACGTTATTCGCCCTCTCTTCCCTGGTCGCCTTATTTCCAGGTTTGGCGATGTTCATTGGCCTCCCCGGTCCCCAGATTTATCCATATGCGATTTTTTCTTATGGGGACACCTCAAGGCTAGAGTATACACGAACAAGCCCCCAACTCTGGACGAATTGAAGGTCGAAATGCGCGTGAAAGTCGCCCAAGTTGAGAGAGCGATGTTGGAGAGAGTCTACGCGAACTTCCAAGAACGCCTCCAGCACTGCATCAACGATTTCGGCCACCACATGCCTGTTGTGGTTTTCCACACTTGACTGTCTCAAATGCTATTTCCTTGTGAAACTGATTCCATCAATAAATTTGTTTTCGAGTAAAAATTAACTATTTTATGATTTTTTTTAAACCGTCCATCCTCTCTGCCGCACCCTGTACAATTAATTGTGAAAAGGTCCGTATCGTCAGCCGTTCTTACAATTTATTGTAGGACGCCTTTATGGCCTCCTTGATTTCCATAGTTTTTCATGTCCTTCAGAAAGGCAGGAGTGCTTCTAGATTTCTGCTGCTCCGCATCAGCGCTCTATTTTGAGGTTATGTTTTCTTTTCGAATTCTAAGAAATTTTAGGCGGATATAACTTGATTTTTATTATCTTTTTTTTGAGCCTGTCACAATAAGAGAGCGCTGACGCTGACAAGGAACAGTAGAATTATAGAAATGCCCCAGCCTTTTCTGAAGGAGATAGAAGGCTATGAAAATCAGGGAGGCCATAAAGGCGTCCTATAATTATATGAACAACTGACAATACGGTCCTTAATCTGTTCATTATACCTAGAGTGAGAAGACGAGAATATTTTAAACACTATAGAGAGTTTGATGGTGGGCGAATAGTGGGATTGTGTGAGGCTGGTTGCCCCTTTAGAAAAATAGCCGCCAGGGTGAACAGAAGTTTGAATACGGCGATGGTTTGTTGCCGGGCATGGGATCAGGAAGGCCTTACACGGAGAGTTAGATGTGTGTCAAAACAACAGCACCACACCAACATCGCCGTCTCAGGGCTTTTGGCTCCACGGGATCGCTTTTTGATCACAAGGTCAATCGCGGAACAATGGTGTGAAGAACGCGGAGGTACCACCCGGCGGATCTCGTAGGCGGAGCCAGAATGTGTGCATGATGCATGCACACGTGTTCCCTCGCCATAGTCCGTGTGGCGTTCCCCCTTTACCCTGTATCCCCCTATAGCCCCACGGTACCCAATGGGTGTTTAGGCATAGGCCTTCGTGGTAGTTGGAGTATAAAAAAATCTCCGGATCAACAGTTCTGGTTTTACTTCATACCGTCCTCAGTACAGAGAACAGCCGATCTGGGACCTTGAGTGGAATACTATTATCTTCAGTGATGAATCCAGATTATGTTTGGGGATGCATGGTGTCTGTGCAAGGATAAGAAGGCGACGAAATGAAAGACGAGATTATCAGTTTAATATGGAACTGCATATGCATCACAGTGTGGAATTTTGATATCGGGGATATTGCCTATAGGCGCAAGTCACTTTTGGTTTTCATCAGAGGCAATATGAGCGCCATGCGTTACATCTAGGGGGTGAAGGAACCACACACATGCCTCAACAGGAAATCGATCATCTGATTATGAGTTAGTTTTTTTTTCAAAACCGAAACAGCCGCGCAGGCAGAAGCATAAACACCAGGTCATCGCAGCTCCTATGAGGATCCCAAAGAAATTTTGTTAATCCGATTTTTGAACTACCTAAGGTACACCCTCGGGACAAAGGAGCGGTCGTATTGGCCAGTTCTTTCTTCATTCACGGTTAGGATGGGTGTGAATAAGAGATGTTTCTGTGGAGTCCCAACAAATTTTTAATTTCTTACATTATTATGGGGAGTTCTTTTTTGTATGTCACTTACTATATTCAAACATCATGTAACGGGTGATTTTTTAAGAGGTATAGGATTTGATTTTTAAAAAAAAAAAAACAAAAATTTCAAAAAACGATTAAATCTTTATTTGAGTCGATAGAACGGTCGATATAATTTAATGTTTAAAGATTATTTCATGTAAATGTTGGCCGCGGCTCCGCTTTAGATGGCCCATGCGCAAGGTCCAATTTTGGCACACTCTCTCCAACATATCGGCCGGTATCTCACGAATAAATGCTTCAATATTGGCTTCCAGTGCGTCAATCGTTGCTGGTATATCCCTGTAGACATTAGCCTTAACATGGCCCCACAAGAAATAGTCCAACGACGTTAAATCACACGATCTAGGCGGCCAATTGACGGGCCCCAAACGTGAGATAAACTGTTCACCGAACTCGCCTCTCAATAGGGCCATTGTTTCGTGTGCGGTGTGGCATGTGGCACCGTCTTGTTGAAACCACATGTCAGCCAAGTCCAGCTCTTCCATTTTAGGCAAAAAAAAGTTTGTTATCATCGCACGGTAGCGCTCGCCATTCACAGTTACGTTCCGGCCATTGTCGTCTTTGAAGAAGTACGGCCCGATGATGCCACCGGCCCATAATCCACACCAAACAGTGATTTTTTCGGGATACATCGGTAGCTCTTGCAATGCTTCTGGCGGGTCTTCACTCTAGATGCGGCAATTTTGCTTGTTAACGTACCCATTCAACCAGAAATGAGCTTCGTCGCTGAACACAATTTTTCGATAAAAATGTGGATCTTCCTCCAACTTTTCCAGCGCCCATTCACCAAATTGGAAACGTTGTGGGAGGTCGTGTGGCTTCAATTCTTGCACCAGCTGTATCTTATAAGGTTTTATACCCAAATCCTGTCGCAAAATTTTCCACGTAGTGGAGTAACAGAGGCCCAATTTCTGCGAACGGCGGCAAATCGACATTTCACGGTCATCACTAACACTGGCGGATACACCCGCAATATTTTCTTCAGTCCTCACTCTACGTCTGCGTGTTGGTGGTTTAATGTCCAATAATGTAAACTGGGTTCGAAATTTAGTCACAAGCTTCCGAATAGCTCCCTCAGTAGGCCGACCAACTTGCCCATAAATTGGAAGCAGTGCTCGATGCACTCTCTTAACCGAGCATGAATTTTGATTATAGTAAAATTCAATAATTTGCAAGCGTTGTTGGTTCGTAAGTCGATTGATGGTTAAATTATAGACCAAATTGAACAAGTTTGACAATGACACAAGACACGATTCACGCGTCATATTTCAAAAACAGTGTTGCCAAAACGATACTAGCAAAAAAATCACCCATTATTTCAAAACAAATATGGGCTCTCGATCGCCGGTTCTACTCACTTGTTGCTGCATTAACTAGTCATTTATGGCCCGCTGGTGAGTAGAAGCTCGTGAATTTGAACGACTGGCACTGGTGTGTGTTTTGATGGCAGTTGAAAACCTTGGCAAACAATAAAAATCAAAGAATCGGAAATGAACCATAATGATTTTCTATTTCAAAGATAATTCTTCAAACAATAAGTTGGACACGTAACTTGGCTTACACTACTTTTACCATGGCAGCCCTATTAAACTTTTTGGTGTATTATTCGACACTACTTCTTAACAGCAAAATTGGAGAGCTTTCGTATCATTACTTTTAGCTTCACTTCTTTATACAGGGTGCGGCAGAGAGGATGGACGGTTTTAAAAAAATCATAAAATAGTTAATTTTTACTCGAAAACAAATTGATATTGATGGAATCAGGTTCACAAGGAAATAGCATTTGAGACAGTCGTGTGTGGAAAATCACATCAGGCATGTGGTGGTCGAAATCGTTGATGCAGTGCTGGAGGCGTTCTTGGAAGTTCGCGTGGACTCTCTCCAACATCGCTCTCTCAACTTGGGCGACTTCCACGCAAATTTCGAACTTCATTTCGTCCACAGTTCGGGGCTTATTCGCATATACTCTATACTCTATACTCAATTTGTAGGGGTGAAAGCGGAGATCCGTATGCAAAATTCGCCTTACCGAACGATCACTAAGGCGAAGTGCAGCAGCATGTTTCCGGGTAGATCGAGTCGGATTGCGAAGAAAGACCTGTCGAACGCGTTCAACATTTTCAGGAGTTCGAACTGTTCGCGGCGCTCCTCTTGGTCTTCTGTTGATCAGTTCAACACGCCTGCGAAGTGATTCAACCCAACGAAGGATGGTGTTTCGAGAGGGAACAGCTGTATTCCGATGAATGTTGAAGTGGCGACGAAACTCACGCTGTACGACGATCACTGACTCATTATTTTATACTACCATATTATTGCAGGTGGTCGGATACGGATACTTAACTTTATTGAATTTGTTCTTTGAGTGGCATTAAAATACTCTTCGAATGTCTTCCTAGAGACAAACTAATCTCTGATTTTGACTCAGCGACCGCAAAAACTTATGTGTTCTAGACCATTGTGATACAGTATGTTCCTAAATGCATGAACTTTCGTTTTTATTCTTTAGGTATACCGGCATATATCAAATGTCTATACCAACTCTACTCGTCCGAGACATTGACTTACTAAAGCAAGTGTGTGTCAAAGATTTTGACCATTTTGTGGACCATATGACATTTATACCAGACAACTGTGATCCTTTGTGGGCCAAGAATCTGTTTGCTCTCAAAGGTATTCGTATAGTTACTGATAAAAGTTTTTCTAACGAATAAATTAAAGCTTTTTAGGGTATTAATAACTTTTTTATTATAAAAACCCATGTGTGCTAATTTCTATGCAACATGATTTGCGTCATCTGCCTGCCGCGAAATTATGTATTTCACAGCTTCGTTACAGAGATACAGGGTATTTAAGTTCATTCCTTTTAATTCAAACTTTTAATTTTTCTGAATTACTTGAGAGATTTAGATGAAACTCTGCGGATCAATGATAGACCTAAAGGATCTTATCTCTACTGGTTATATCCAATTAAATTATCTCAGGGGCGGCGTTATCAAATTTTAACATGTGATTTTCTTGTCAGTGTGGTCAAGCTACTCAGACGAAACATCTGTTTGTAGACAAGTAAGTTGAGATTGCAGCTAGGAAATCGCCAAATATTGAAACTCCCAGAATTAAGCAGAAATGCGAGAATACCCTTGGATCGTAGTGACGAGAAATACAACAAAACGTTCAGATTCTGATTGATGCATATTTTTCATAACTTGTTATTTTTTTTTTTTGGTGAGGGGGGAATGCGTTTACGCACCATACCATAGCCCGAGCTACGGCGTGTGTGGGACTCCAGGTTGTCTTGAGGAGACCACCTAATACCCACTAAACCCTAACCTCCGCGTGGCCCGACTCATCAGCGTCTCGGTAGGCCATGTATTGTGCGTGACCTGCGGTCTGCTACAACGTCTCTCTGTGTTTCAGTCTCTGGGAACGCCGGGTTGGTTCCCTTTACCTCGCACATTCTATCGATGTCGTCAAGCGATCATCGATAGAGGGTCTGCTAGGTTCTCTTGAAACTCTTGTTTTCGAAAAATCAAGAGTTTCAAGTCCTCTTACCTATATATTGTTCCTGGTCCTGGTCCTGAAGGGTCCTGGTCCTGGTCGTGGCGGGTCCTGGTCCTGGTGGGTCCTGGTCCCGGTGGTTCCTGGTCCACATCCACGATCCGGGGGGGGGGGGGAGCAACCGCGGGTTCTCCTAGTCTCCTAGTCAAGGTTCCAGTTAGCGGGTGCCAACTGGGACCTTGGTCTAGGGTACCTGGTTCTGCGGTTGCGAGGCCTCTCGTCCGGATCGTAGTCCATGAGGAATCGTAGCTGCTCGTTCGGGTGGTCCTGAGCTTTCTGAAAGGTCTTCTCCGCTTTTTTCCTCATGTACTCGTGAATGATGTCCCAATGCAGTGTGTGTCACATACTCTCCATCATTCACGAATTAAAGGCCGAGTCATGCCGAGTACGCGATTCAAGTAAAGAGTAAAACCGTTTTTATTTAAATGTTTAATTGTTTCAAGTGTACCTTTTCTAGATAAACCAAATTACCTAAACTAATTCAGCATTTCAATAAAGCATTAAAAATACAAACTAGTTTAAAAGTATATCACTTCCAATTGAACTGGTTCCAGAACGTTCAGTTAAATTATACCGAATAATTTAGTTACATAGAATAATTGACACATTTATTACGGATAATGAACATTTTCGAGAACAACTGCTTAGAGATCCGCCACGCTCGACAGTCTGAGATCATCTACCACCTACAGACAATCACAACGTCCATAGCCAAGAAAAAAATTCTCTTGGACAGTGATTCGAACCCGCGAAGCTCATGGTGACTGATCAGTGGACTGTAGACTCATCACGTCTATCACTACGGCACCGCGCTGGATACTATACAAATATTGAGCCGTATTCATAAAACAAAGGATATCCTTGTACTACTACTATTTTGAAGGAAATCCTCCAGATGGTATTTATAATAATTTGAAGTAAATGCTTTTGCTTTTTGAGTATAAGCATATCCTTTAAAGCAGTGACATAAGTAAAAGGATATTCATAATCTTCACCTTATACTTGGCATTGGAAGCATATTCCTCATCACTTGAGGATGACATGCTTATTAATTTGGTAAAAAACTGTATCCAGTAAAAATACGGAACGGTCTGTGTAAGCTGTCAGTGATGCTGAGTGAACGAAATCCCACGTCAAATACAAGCTGGCTGCTTCTCTTTTATGAATACGGCTCATTGAATTTCGTACGGACCAAAATTGATTTTTATTAACAGCCATACAGCCTGAAATTGCGTTATCAATTGGCACGCGAATTTGTTTTTCGACCACTTATCATAAGCACATGAATGAAAATTCGAAATACCAGCTTAAAACTTGATACTACCGCCCCCAGGATAATTCAATTGGATGTAATCCATAGAGATCAAGTTCTCTAATGCCCATCATCAATACAGTTTTTCTAAATCACTTAATACAAGAGACTTTGAAATAAATATTATATAGAGGAAATGAATTTGAACACCTTGTAGGTAAGTAAAGAATTCGTAAAATACATAAGTTCGTATAAACTTTTTTGGTCAGTTTAATGTGTAGAAATAAACGAAGCTAAATGTTATAAACAAATTAAAATAAGAAACTAATGTATAGACATCTTAATACGCAGTATTTTAAACGCATTTTACTGAAAATCTCAATAGTCCATTGAGCTTCCTGGGTTTCAAAGTACAAACCTAAGAGCTCACCATCAATATTACTTGTTCAGTATGTTGATGTGTGCATTTCAATTAATTTTATAAAGTTACGTGTTAAGTATATATTACTAATGATTTCACTTGTTCTATAATTGTAGGGCAAAGGTGGAAAGAAATGCGACCTATCCTGAGTCCATCATTCACCAGCAGTAAAATGAGGGCAATGTTTCTGTTAATGTCGGATTGCGCCAAAAGATTCACTCAATTTTTTGCCGACAAAAATGATGAAATTGTCGAGTTGGAAATGAAAGATTCCTTTACACGGTATTGCAACGATGTGATCGCGACATGTGCCTTTGGTATAGAATGTGATTCTCTCCGTCAACCAAACAATGCTTTCTATCTTATGGGAAAAAGGACAACAAACTTCTCCTCACTTTCAATGCAACTGAAATTCATCGCGCTTTCAGCTGTTCCTTGGCTGTTTGAGGTAAGATTTTACTATTATATGGCTAGGCCCATGTACTATGTGATAGATTCTAAGGCTCCAATAATAATTGACCTCACACATTTTTCTGGACAAGGGAAAGCTTTTATAGCCATACTTGCATACAGATGCTTTCTGTCAATCTTTCCTACCAGAAGTGTGAGATTCATACCAAAAGTGTTTGTTTCATCCCGTTTCCTCTCTCCATACATACACATATTTGTATGTATACCCAGCAGAAAGGAAAACCTATGTTTGTTTCTTTGTTTTTCTTGTTACATACCCTTTACCATTCGTTTCGCTACTTGTTGAATTTTAACTCAGTTTCGCTCGCCCATATTGACAAAGTTGTCTGAAGTGAGCCTCTCGCCGAACGTCACAATCAGTTGTCTATGTCACTGTATTTGAGTAGATCATCAGGGGTATCCTCCTCTTTTCAACAATAGGTGCAGTCTGCGTATTCTTACTTCAACATCCGCCTTAAGTAGGCTTCAAAGCATCCATGCCCTGTAAGAAACTATGCAGTATAAAAATCTGTCTTCACAGCTCCCCTGTCAATCTAGATCTTAATGTCAGAAATCAGTTTCTTAGTCCATGCATCATGGCTAGTCGCGTCTCATACTCGCTACCAATTAATACATAGCACTTCCCTTCATTCATATTTAGCTTCTAAGCCCCTCTTATAGAGGGCGCATATTTCCTCAGCCACGAAATCAATTGGCGGGGCTCCAGCTACCACCAGCAGCGCCTCCGTCGAAGCCATACTATAGTCGCAGATCACGCACAGTACCGACTTCCGCTGGCACATGAGCATCAGTTACCTATATTTCTTCTTTTTCAATGCTTTGACACCCCAGCCAGAATACGTCGTTTCTCGTTACTTGGCCCACCATCAGTTGGCATCAGAGCGATGACCCTATCAACCTCATACTTTGGGTAGCTGAGGTCATGTGACAGAAACTGTGAAAAACAGTTGAAGGCATATCTTCAATCCTTTCTATTCTGTGCTGCATGCTTTAAAGTGGCTCTGTCGTTTCTGTAGTCCATTCCTTAATGATGCGGAGCTAGAATTTCATCTTTTTCTATATTCCTTGCTTGCCAGTATCTTTCCAGGGATTATAACTTGCAGGAATTCATATACTTTAAGCCTCATCAGGTGTCCCGAATACGTCAGTTTTCTGAGCTAGAAGATGGTAATTTCATGACGTTGCTTGTTATTCTCTGTGTCTAACTGATTCGTAGGATTGTGCGGTACATCCACATCTCAAATGGTTGTAGACGATTTACATCTTCTTCTTCAATACCCACGTGTCACAACTGCACACTAATTGACAGATTCTAAATACAGGGTGACTTTGAAGTTGAGTCATTAATTTTCAGATAATGATTGTAGAAGGAAAATAAACCAAAATATGTGTGTAATAATAAAAAAAAAATACAAAAAATGTTACCTACGACAAGTATTTCAGTGCGGACCTGTATTTGTTCGTGCGGTCTTGGAGCACCGGCATGCTCTCCCCTGTGAGGTCTTAAGTCACCTGATTCACGAGCCCTTTGTACTACATTAACAAAGGCACGAGGGGTTGGTTGCACTCGATTAAATAAGAATCATGTCCACACGTTCGCAAGTTCAGCATTTTCGTAAACATGTGCCATTTTTTATTTCGTTTGAGCAACGCAACAAACACCACTATTCACTCACGCGTTACCGACTGAAACATTGACTGACATCGTGATAAACGTTTCAAATTCTTTCGCTTTTTTGTTTCCGATGCGATGAACCGATAAGGCGGATTATATCCGTTGTTGCCAAACACGAGCACATATTATTATTATTGAGTCAGGGCGGTACTCAAACTTCCAAAGGGGTATAACTTTGTTACTTTAATTTTGCCAGAAAAATGGTAAAGGAAAAAAACATTTCTTTTGATCAGATCTAGTCACTGTTAAAATAAATGACTCAACTTCGAAGTCACCCTGTATAATTCAACTTTAATACTTTTAGGTGTTTGGAAATGGAAAGCTTCAGGTTACTTATGCCTTGCCCCATATTGATGAACCCTGATTTTACTATGTATATACGTCTTTTTATTTTTTGCTTAATAACCCCTCTATCCAGATACCTCCCAACAATTGCCGTAATGTTTTGATCGATTTCGGTGGACATCATACCCTTCTTTTTATAGATATTTTATTTCTCAAAAGGAGTCATTTCTTTTAAAAATCTTATTACACATGAACAGAAAAACAAATAATATCAAAAAAGTTTGAGATATAAACTTAATTTTTGGTTAACTTAGGCCTGTATCGTCAGTCGTCCCTACAATTGTAGGGCGCGTTTATGGCCTCCTTGATTGTCATACTGCTTTCTCTCCTTCAAAAATTTCTAGATTACACTTGTCCCGTGTCAGCGTCAGCGCTCTCCTATTGTAAAGATATGTTTTCTTTTTAAATTGTAGGAAATTTCAGGCTGATAAAACATGATATAACTCAAAAGCAAGCACAATTTGATGCAAATAGATGTTTGTGACATAACCTCAAAATAGAGCGCTGATACGGAGAAGTAGAAAACTATGACAATCAAGGAGGCCATAAAGGCGCCCTACAATTGTAGGGACGACTGACGATACGGGCCTTAGTCTACAACTACTGTCTATTGTCAATCTCGTTTATCAAATAACAAGCATCTACCAAACGATCAAGGACGGACCATAGTGGTCAACCCTCGTAGCTTACAACATATTTGACAAATTTGATCTGTAATCACAATTGTAAATGCTATTTGCCAATTCGATTGTAGAACGTAGACAGTAGGAATACAATTATGAGAATTTTTTTGTTCTGTTTCCATAAAATGTATTGCAATATAATTCTAGCTACTTAAAATTCCAATCTTCGACGACGAGATAAAACAATTTTTCTATTCTCTCGTGAATGACACAATTAAAACTAGGGAGGAAAAGGGTATCGTCAGACCGGATATGATTCATTTACTCATGGAAGCCAGAAAAGGAGAAACTAAGCAAGAAGAAGATAATGTCATTGATACTGGATTTTCCACAGTACAGGAATCTAACGCTCTCAAAGGTAAGGAGATTTCAGTATGGGAGGTTCTAGAAAGACGGAATACTTCTGCTGGTAGTAGATAGATGATTTTAATAAAAGTTTCAATATTATCAATAATGAGCCGTATTCATAAAACAAATGTTGAAGGAAATCCTTCAGATGGTATTTATAATAATTTGAAGTAAATGCTTTTGCTTTTTGAGTATAAGCATATATATATATGGTAATCATTATGAATGAAAACAAGGATATGCTTATACTTCTACCTTTTTCTCCTAAGCAAGACCTTATACTTTTACCTTATGCTTCCGAGGATATGCTTCTCTTTTATGAATACGGCTCATTATCACACGATCTTACTATAGACTATTATTGATATTGCATGAATATACGCAAAGCGTGTACTCGTTCTTAAAAGAGAGGAATATGAATATTGCAAATCAGTTCGATATTTCTCGAACGGATAAGACTTTGAATTTTTTTTTGAATGAAAAGAGTTATGACATTTTGACCTGCATGTCTCATTGCATGAAGGCATTCATTCCTTAAGATGCCAGAAGCACATGTTTTCTTCAACCTGTTAACCCTCAACACATTCTGACATGAGACAATCATGTGACCTTTACAATTTATTGAATGCATGTGTATTCCAGTTGATCATGATTTTGTTATGTTTATTAGGAAAAGCTTCTCCCGTGGAAATCACCAACCAAGACATTGCTTCACAAGTCATGATATTTTTCTTCGGTGGTTTCGATTCAGTCTCAAATCTGATGTGTTTCATGGCACACGAATTGGCTGAGAATCCGGATGTTCAAGACCGGCTGCGAGACGAAATCATGCAAACCACAAACGCATGTAACGGAAAGCTTACCTACGAAGCTCTACTGAAAATGAAATATATGGATATGGTAGTATCTGGTAAGATATTCGTTTAATATTGGAAGGAACTGTTATTCTCAACAATTGCGATGATCACTAAATCTAAGTTAGTGATAGATAAAACATTGGCTCATTCGATTAGACAGGCGAAAAAGCTGTCCGCCATGTTTCGCCCAGTAGTGTTCGTCCCTGTTGAATAAGACACACTCACTTTAAATAACTCTATATTTTCACCATCGTTTTATACACCAGTATCTATTGCAGATCCCGTAACCATTATCACTTCCCCCAGCCGGTAAGCATTTTAAGAGTATGGTATAGGATTCGGCACCTTAATTTTATTGGTCAATTTCAATTTATTCAACCGATAACAAGCCGTGTGCCGAAATCACTACCGGAATGTTAAACAGTGCTGAGCATGGGGTCAGAATGTTATCAATTTAAATTTAAATTTACTTACCTTCCGCTAAAAATACGTAAGATAATAATCAACGCACGTGGTTTCCTATTACGATATTTAATGATTTTAAAATAATAATTTGGTTTAGCAATAAGAAAAATTTCATGAAAAATTTAAAATTATATATTATAGAAAATAACTGAATTTAAAAAGAATGCAAGGAAATGTAAAAATCTAAAAAATCATATACTTTTTTGGATTTTTGTATAAATAATCCGCGGGTGGAAAAATGGTATTTATGTAAGAAGCTAAATTCTAATATCTAATTCTAATATTTTCTCATTCAAGTACAGCATTTATCATTTCAGGGAAGAAATTATCACTTTTCGTTTCATATTAAATATGAAAGTTTATTGGTCCGTTCAAAAATAAACAAGAAAATTCAAAAAACAAGAATATTCAAAAATAAAAAAGAAAATTCGAAAATTAACAAAAAAAATAATGTAATAGGTTTTAGTGACCTGTTCCATAAGACTTAGCATTCGGTACATTTTGCTTTACATTGAGTGCTAAGTTCCTTTTTCTTTTTCTTGGTGCGCCTTCTTCCTTTGGTGGCCGACCAATCGGTAACCTTTTGCAACCCCTTGTAATCCCTACTCTACGTCTGCTTATGGAAGTAGGTTGAACTTTTAAATTCATCTTAGTACGATGACGAATTGGTACAGAACTTCCAGCTGTACATAGAAAAGATTCCCAAGATGTCCTTGTTTTAATATTTCTAAGTCTTTGTGTACACTTTTGAATGGTTGCATTTGATGTTCCAAATCGTTTGTTATGCTGTTGCATTAGCAAGTAAATTTCTTCAATACCCTTCATTTCATCTAAAGCCACACTGTTAACAAAATTATATTATATTGCAAATTCGCATTAATATCAGCAGTTTGTTCAGTGTGCTTGGAAGACGTATTAGAAAGCACTAACGGCATGTTAAACGGAATAGGTTGTACCTTCTCACCAAATGCTAGTTTGGCCATTTCGTAACGAGATTCTGACGTTACCGCAGGTGCGCTGATGACAGTTTCATCAAAGTAAAAGTATATTGCAGCCTGATGTTTTCAAAATTTTCCTAATTTACCATCATGACAAGTGCAAACTCCTATATTTATATAATAATATTCACCGCTTTTAGTCGCACTAGGAATATATAATAATAATCTAGGTGTTGAATTCCTTGAATTAGCAAAATTTCGAATTCTTTTTTGGTAATAATCTTCCAAGCAACTCACTATTAAATCTATTAAAGCAATTGCATTATATGCTTTATTCCGAGATAACACAACATCTTTAAAGAGTCGAATGCTCACTTCACAAAAATTGTTTGCTTGGTTTCCGTGTGTAGTTTCATCTCGGTATGCCATACACCAATCTTCACGTCTTTCCCAATATTTTTCAATGTACACCAGAACCGTCGATGACAGGGTAGCTTCAGCGCCGCCTGACATTTTGGCTAACATAATAAATAAAGGAGACCACGCACTACAATAACAGTTCGGCTCATACAGTACACGCGTATATAATAAAAACTGCATTAGTTTATTTTCATATTCTGGAGAAAGAATGCGGTTCCGAAGAAGGAGGGCTCTTTTAACAAAATATGAAAATAACCGAATGCGGTTCTTTACTGACAACACGTTTGAATGGAAAATTATCAGGTTTATTTTGATGCACGAGTGTAATTCGGTAGAATATTTCTCGAGTTAAGGGAGTAAAAGTATGTGTTAAGTTAACAATTTTCTTTAACTTTACATTAACAAGGTAGCTACTTTAAAATTCGATATTCATGCATGTCAAGATGACAAATGCACATTTCATCAATCGTAACTATAAATACGAACGTATAGGGAATTTTTCGATGCCTACTGAGGAATTTCACGGAAAATTTCCCGTTGTCTAGGTAACGGGAAATTTCCGCTGTAATTTTGCGATAATTCCACACCTATTAAGGCATTTTTTACACATGAGGGAAATATTCGTAGTTTTATCGTCCAAAGATATAAAAACACATTGATAACGACCCCAGGAATGCTGTGGATTAGAGTTCCCGAAATAAATATACGAATCTCCTGGTTAATACTTGCTCTTTTTTGTTTATACCGAAGCAGCCGCGCAGGTAGAGGCCTAAATGCCGAGACACCGCGGCTGCTATGATGATCCCAAAGAAATTTTGTTAGTCCGATTTTTGAACTGCCCAAGGTTAGTAGAACTGGAAAAAGCTTCCTCTTGTAGACTGTTCCGCAATTCGACACTCTCGGGACAAAGTAGCGGTCGTGTCGGCCAGTTCTGGATGTACGAAGTTCGACACGGTTAGGATGTGGCGCCAAAGTCAGGCGGGTCTGTCTGGCAGGCTCATCGCGCGGCGACATCATGGAAGAGAGCTCTGAGGAGCAAAGCCCGTTGGTGTAGCGGTGCGAAAGGGTCCCGAGACTGTCTGGTTGAGAAAAGTCATCGATCAGTCGAACAGCCCTCCTTTGGACAGCATCGAGCATAAATAATGTAGCCCAATACTCGAGGCTAGGCCTTATCTGGACTTTGTGTAGAGTGAGAAGGCTATGCGGAGAAAAGTACTTCTTAGCCCTAAACAAATAGCCTAGCTTTTTCCCACCAGCGCCGCTATTGACGGGATAACCTCCAGGTCTCTCATCAGAGAGGGAGTCATCGCTAGTCTTCTTTTTTCCAGCTGAATTCCTGCATGTAGAGTGCTGTTATCAGCGAAGCTGTGGATTGGGTTGATCGTGAAAGGAAGGTCGTTGATATGTGAGAGGAACAGTGTCGGAGCCAAGACCGATCCCTTGGGAACACCCGCGTTGACGTTGTGGGATGAAGAGGAGAACCCGTCAATTACGACGGATATCTTGCGGCCAGAGATAAAGTCAGCCACCCATCTGCAAATCTGGGAGGCCATAGGATGACAGTTTGTTTAAGAGGGCAGCGTGCCACAGATGATCGAATGCCTTCCTGATGTCAAGAGCAACGACATGAGCCTCATCATAGGACTGGATGAGTTTACTCCACAATTGAGTGACGTAAGCTAGGAGATCCCCTGTGGATCGTTGGTGCCGGAAACCATACTGCCTGTCGCTAATCAAGCTGTGACGTTAGAGGTAGTCTAGAAGTTCGCGATCTAGGCACCTCTCCAACACCTTACTTATAACAGAATACAGAGCTATAGGCCTGTGGTTGCAGGGGTCGGTCTTAGATCCTTTTTTTTGGGATGTGTTGGACATGAGTTTTCTGGGAAGGTGCCGGATTCATAAGATATGTGGAAGAGACGCGAAAGAACTGGAGCAAGCTCCGCTGTATACCTCTTCAGTACGATGCCAGGAATCAAGTCCGGACCAGAAGCTTTGTTGATGTCGAGGGAGGGAGGGTGGTGGGGTATCACGCCACAAGAAGACAACGACAAAACTACAGAGATGTGTTGAAACATATTCCCAAAACGGAGGACAGACAGGCTGTTAAAGCATTGTTTTTGCGAAAAGAGTTTTTATGTTAGTGACGAGTTGCATCGTATTCTCAGACTAACTCTTACATAATTTTGTTTCCCGAATTTATTGCAGAAACGTTGAGAAAATGGCCAAACGCTGTAGCTGTAGATCGGGTCTGCACGAAACCTTACACCGTAGAACCATCCAAGCCTGGAGAAATTCCTCTACACTTGAAGGAGAACGATGTGCTATGGATTCCCATTTATGGACTCCATCATGATTATAGGTAAGGATTATTAGTATTAAATTACTGCCAAAAAATAAACTCCTGAAATTACTGAGCCGAAATCAATGATTTTCGTGGTTTATAATTTTTTTAAATTTTTCAACAATAACCCGAAAGCGGACATTTCAATCCGAATAGTGAAAAGTCTATATGAGATACGGATGAGACTGATATTCGTAGTTTTCACTTGAACTAAGTGAATGTAATCATACGAAATAAAATAACATAACTAGAAAGCAGTATAGTTTACGTTCTTATTTTTCTTCAGTAAAAAGTTATGTCTAGCTCCATAAATTGCTAGAATATTGCGCATACAAATTACTACAAAAACTTGCATGTATACTAAGTGACATATAAATTCGAACACCCAGTTTAAATGGTTTTATTTTAATAAAAGTTGGTGAATGTATTTATCTTACTGTAAATAACAAGTGAAAAAATTTTCAGCCTTATCAGTTGGACATTCCGGTTTTTATACTGCTTTTTTTAATTCATTAACGCTCTAAAAATGAATATTTCAGCCGCAGTAAAGAATCAACGTTGGCGGATTTTGGTTCTTGACATCCTTTACGATCGGTTACGATGCCTAGAGTACGGAGACCTGTACGAATTCGTCAACTTAGTGAGTTTGATAGGGGCCGTATAGTGGGACTTCGGGAAGCTGGACTTTATTTTCGGGCAATTGCAGTTAGAGTGCAAAGAAGTGTAGACACTGTGGTTAGGTGTTGTCAGGCATGGCTTCGAAAAGGCCGTACGCAAAGAGCAAGGGGCACTGGACGCCGCCGTAGAACAACAGACCGTGATGATTGCCGCCTAAGATTATTGGCCTTAAGGGACCGTTTCTCCACTACCAGGTCCATTGCAAATGAATGGTTTGCAGAACACGGAAGACCTATTGGCATGCGAAGTGTTTACCGATGAATGAGAAGTTTTGGCTTGTTTTCATATCGGCCACACTGGGTCCTCCCTTTAACTCGAGAACACCGACGTAATCGCCTTGAGTGGTGCAGACAACGGTCACTCTAGGATCAGGAATGGAACAGTATTGTGTACAGTATTAGTGACGAGTCTCGATTTTGTTTAGGCATGCACGTTGGTCGTGCCAGGGTTAGAAGGCGACGTGGTGAAAGGAGGAATCCACAGTTTTTTGTTGAAAGACATGTTCATCACACTGTTGGAGTTATGGTTTGGGGTGCTATAGCTTATGGTTCCAGGTCACCTTTAATCTTCATCAGAGGTAACATGAACGCGCAGCGTTATATCCACGAAGTTCTAGAACCCCATCTTTTACCCTATCTTGACACCCTGGCAGATCCAACTTTCCAACAAGATAATGCCCGACCACATGTTGCAAGAGTCACAATAGACTTCTTTCAACATAATGATGTCACATTGTTACCATGGCCACCAAGATCTCCCGACTTATCCCCAATTGAGCACGTGTGGCATATGATGGGTAGGAGATTGCTCAATTTGCAACGTCCTCCTCAGACTCTAGAAGCACTTCGAGAGGAGTTGGTGGTTGCCTGGAATGAGATACCACAGGAGGACATTGACCACCTGATCAGAAGCATGCCTAGGCGCGTTGGAGAATGCGTAGCACATCAGGGTGCATCCACACATTATTAAAGGTCAAAGGGCTTTAAAGCAGTGCAATCATTTTGAAATTTTTATCATTTACTTATTATGCTTCATTAAGTACTTATACAAAATTTTATTAAAATAAAACCATTTAAACTAGGTGTTCGGATTTATATGTCACTTAGTATATTACTAATGATTTCACTTGTTCTATAATTGTAGGGCAAAGGTGGAAAGAAATGCGACCTATCCTGAGTCCATCATTCACCAGCAGTAAAATGAGGGCAATGTTTCTGTTAATGTCGGATTGCGCCAAAAGATTCACTCAATTTTTTGCCGACAAAAATGATGAAATTGTCGAGTTGGAAATGAAAGATTCCTTTACACGGTATTGCAACGATGTGATCGCGACATGTGCATTTGGTATAGAATGTGATATTTATCGTCAGTATGAGAGCGTTTAATTCTTTACAAATAATCAGTCAATTCAATAACTGAACTAATTTTCCACAATCTTGTTCAATTCGACAATGTGGTCTGCATTTTGTTTCTAATTCATGCGTTTATCGTGTTTCAGGTAAAGTGTTTGCCATATATACTTTGAGCTAAAGAAATTGCTTCAGTATATGGGATTCTATGAAACCTCGTTCGTCACTGCCCGTGTTACGTATTTTAGGTATCTAGCTTCTAGACTCAGTAATCATGATCGATGGCGATATGGCGACGTTACTTTTTGCGGTTTTTCAGAGTCGCTACTGGAATCTTGTTCCCTTTCCCAACCGCCGAATTTTCTACGTTCTTGGAGTTACTAAGGAGCTGCATATATCGAAAACACATATCACGGGCTTCGGAGAATTCGATGTACTGGAGCAAATACGGCAAAGAAACTGAGGGCGATTTTTACCTGAAAGATGGTAAAAGCGGAGCTAGAAACCAAATGCAGACCTCATTCCCAATTGAGAATCTCGAACTGAGCAAGATTTGTGAGAAATTAGTGCGATCATTTGAAATAACCATCAATTTTACCATTTTATAAAGGAACTATTATTTGATCTACTTTAGCTTTATTGCCTATTTGTCCAGTAATTTGCACGCACGATGTACTAGCAATTTTTCAATCTAGGCACAACTTTGTTCTAAGGAAAACTGGACAACTATGCCGTTTTTAGATTAAGCGGTTATTTTATTTGCAATAGTGTTTTTGCACTTTTTATGATTACATTTACTTAATTTGGGTACAAGCTACTAAGATCAACCGCATTCATAACTCACATAGTTTTTTGTATTATTTAGACCAAAATTTTCAATTTCGCGTTACTGATGAAAAATTACAAACGTTGAAAAAATCTGGAAGACTACTGATTTTCGCCTATACACGTATAGGATGAAATTTGTTGCATTTTATCATGTCCTAAAAGGAATACGGCAAATTACCCTGTATATGATTGTTAGAGCTGGTAAAGTTAGAATTATGATTAAACTTAGGTATATCCGGGTAAACTGCACAATACCCAGACAACATGGGTAAAGTCCAAAATTTACTGAAATTGTAAATTTTTCGGACTTTACCCGGGTAAACCGCGTTCTATCCACTTTCGTGAGGTTAATGTTAAAAAATAGCGCCATAAATGTTTTAAAAGCACATTTTGTTAAAAGAACAGATTTTAAAAATCAAAGATTACACTGAAACTGTATCCTAACAAAGTACAAGATACTATAATCTATTTGTTTAAGCAAGATAAGCTGTTATGACATTTCCAATAAAAATACATTTACACTTATTGGTCATGCATTTAGCTTTACAGTTGCATCGTTTGTAACCTTGACCTTCTAAAAGAGATTGTTCGTTTGCACGTTGTCGTAAACGTTTCTTCTGCAGTGACACACTTTCCATATCTACAAGTTTCCCATTACACACAGAAAATTGGTTCCTGAAAAACATTTCCTCGATAGTTCCTCTCTTGTTTGCTAGCTTATAAAAATCGTCGTCAGTTTTTTCGATTACTGTCATGAGAATATTTCTAAAATCGCCGCTCCCTCTATCAAGGTCTGGAATTTTCACTGTCACTGTATCTCCGACAGAACATGGCGGAAACCATGAATTAGACAAAGCTTTCACTTTCTTTGCTTGATTTTCTAAATTTCGTTTTGCCTCTAGTCTGTTTGATCGTATGTTTTTTGGCACAAAGTTCACAACATATATTCTCTGATCTACGTACTTGGTTTGTCACACTCTGAACATTTCCCCTGATTATCTGAAGTTTCCATATTACCAGTGTTTTCTCTATAATTATTGTTGATATTTTGCATATTTCCATCTTCAGTAATATTTTCTTGCATGTTATCTGTTTCTGGGTTACTGTCCATAGATTGGTCTTCATTTTGCTCTTCTTGAAGCTCTTCACCTACACCAAATTCCTCCAAAACTTCCTCAAGCTCTTCTTCGGTTCGTAGATTTTCAACAGTTCTTTTGGAAACGCTGATGTGGATAGACCGACTTTAATATCATGCCCAAACATGGCAGCATAAGGAGCTTGTTTTATCCTGTCACGGTATGCCCTATTTTTCATTATATCTTATACCTTCTGACCATCGCCTGCAGTTTTCATCGTCAATTATTAAATTAGTTTTTTCGTTGCCATGGCTAATTATTCAACAATTCATTTAAATTCGCAGTACATTTTCTATCATGTGACAAATTCTTTAGTTTGATTTTATTCAAAAATGCCACAATTTATCGATACTGAAAACGAGTACCTTTTTTATGTAGAAAACCCTAAATTTTCAAATTCTAAAATTGAATTTCAAAAATAAAATAACACAAAAATTTTGGGGCTAAAATAACCTGAGTCCGTCCCTCTTACATACGCTTCCAAACAAAACTGTCTAAAATTGTTAATATTTTTAAATCCAGCATAAAAAACTAGGCTAGAATACCAAATGTTATGTCTTTATCTCAACACGTTTCGGAAATATTAAGGAAAAACCATCTTCAAGGGAGCCCCTTTAAAAGACCGTAGCGCCCTTATGGGACGTTTGTCGACCTATGTTTATATAAACTTTTCTTCCTATTTTAAGCTCTAGAAACCGTTGGTAGATTATTGCATACTGTTTTTGGGACACCCTGTATAAATAGTCAAGGAAGGAGCATGTCGGCTAGTTCACCTGATGACCGAGAAGCAACATCTCAATCATCCACTTTGTCATCAAATTTCAAACAACAGGGCGTTCTATGCTAAAAATACAACTTTATTCGATAGCACGCTTCTGGGGCATCTTCTTTATATACTAAGTGACATATAAATCCGAACACCCAGTTTAAATGGTTTTATTTTAATAAAATTTTGTATAAGTACTTAATGAAGCATAATAAGTAAATGATAAAAATTTCAAAATGATTGCACTGCTTTAAAGCCCTTTGACCTTTAATAATGTGTGGATGCACCCTAATGTGCTACGCATTCTCCAACGCGCCTAGGCATGCTTCTGATCAGGTGGTCAATGTCCTCCTGTGGTATCTCATTCCAGGCAACCACCAACTCCTCTCGAAGTGCTTCTAGAGTCTGAGGAGGACGTTGCAAATTGGGCAATCTCCTACCAATCATATCCCAAACGTGCTCAATTGGGGATAAGTCGGGAGATCTTGGTGGCCATGGTAACAATGTGACATCATTATGTTGAAAGAAGTCTATTGTGACTCTTGCAACATGTGGTCGGGCATTATCTTGTTGGAAAGTTGGATCTGCCAGGGTATCAAGATATTGTAAAAGATGGGGTTCTAGAACTTCGTGGATATAACGCTGCGCGTTCATGTTACCTCTGATGAAGATTAAAGGTGACCTGGAACCATAAACTATAGCACCCCAAACCATAACTCCAACAGTGTGATGGACATGTCTTTCAACAAAAAACTGTGGATTCCTCCTTTCACCACGTCGCCTTCTAACCCTGGCACGACCATCGTGCATGCCTAAACAAAATCGAGATTCGTCACTAAAGACAATACTATTCGATTCTTGATCCCAGAGTGACCGTTGTCTGCACCACTCAAGGCGATTACGTCAGTGTTCTCGAGTTAAAGGGAGGACCCAGTGTGGCCGGTATGAAAACAAGCCAAAACTTCTCATTCGTCGGTAAACACTTCGCATGCCAATAGGTCTTCCGTGTTCTGCAAACCATTCATTTGCAATGGACCTGGTAGTGGAGAAACGGTCCCTTAAGGCCAATAATCTTAGGCGGCGATCTTCACGGTCTGTTGTTCTACGGCGGCGTCCAGTGCCCCTTGCTCTTTGCGTACGGCCTTCTCGAAGCCATGCCTGACAACACCTAACCACAGTGTCTACACGTCTTTGCACTCTAACTGCAATTGCCCGAAAAGAAAGTCCAGCTTCCCGAAGTCCCACTATACGGCCCCTATCAAACTCACTAAGTTGACGAAATCCTACAGGTCTCCGTACTCTAGGCATCGTAACCGATCGTAAAGGATGTCAAGAACCAAAATCCGCCAACGTTGATTCTTTACTGCGGCTGAAATATTCATTTTTAGAGCGTTAGTGAATTAAAAAAAAGCAGTATAAAAACCGGAATGTCCAACTGATAAGGCTGAACATTTTTTCACTTGTTATTTACAGTAAGATAAATACATTCACCAACTTTTATTAAAATAAAGCCATTTAAACTGGGTGTTCGGATTTATATGTCACTTAGTATAAAAAACATATTGCACGTACAATTTTATGTTAGACCCTACAACTTGTGTATGAAATATTTTTTTCTAAACGGCCATACAAAATTTAGAGTGAGGTCATTTTATAGCGGGACAGCCTGTGTACAGGTTTATAGCCTGTCTAAGCTAGATCTCTGAGCATGGCATTTCTGGATTTTTGCTCAAAACTCAATTTTGGTTTGAAGTGGAAAGACCTTAGATACCTGTCACCTAAATCAAGATTGCGCCTTAAAAAAACTCTCTCCATTTTCTTGTTTATAGTAAAACTAATAAAACTACATCAATTGCTTAGTTAGTTTAATAGTTAAATTCCATTTGCAGATACTTTCCCCATCCAGAAAGATTCGATCCAGAAAGGTTCAGTGACGAGAACAAAGATAAAATCATACCGTACACCTATTTGCCATTTGGATGCGGGCCCAGAAACTGCATTGGCTCCAGATTTGCCTTGTTGGAGACGAAGGCTGTTTTCTTCCATTTGTTGACACAGTTCGAAATTGTACCAACAAATAAGACGCAGATACCTCTAAAACTGGACAAGAGGTCTTTCCCCATGGTTGCAGAAAACGGGTTTTGGGTTGGCTTGAAGAAGCTAAATCAGTGAGTTGTACGCGTTAATCAATAAGTGCATCCGTATTTTAAACTTTTATACCAGTAAGCTTTTATTGTTTTATATACACTATGTGTTTATGTACCTGTTATGTATACTACGATATAAATAAATCGTTTATTAATCAATTGATGTTTGCTGATTTGTTAATCCTGTATACACTGAAGATGTACTAATTTTCTAAGTACCAAGTATGGTATAGATGGCAGAAACTTTAGGTTCACACGTGCTAAGTTCTTTCCATTTAGAGACACTCCATAGCAATGCCACATATTGAAAATCTTGTCAGACTCATTCGTTTCAACTGAATCGAGAATGGCTAAATGCGCCCTCTGAATACAGGGTAGCCGATATGTAACTGACTGGCTTGTATCTTGGATATTTGTGAAATGAAATAAAATACGTCCATTTTTTCATCTTGATCTTTTATTGAAACTTAGAAATGATGCATGAAAAATAATATAAGACGTCCGCCTCTAGAAGCCACGCAAACCTGATCGCTCTTGATTACATTTTCCATTACTCTTTGGTAGGTTTCGGGAGGAATATTTTCAATCGCTTCCGTAATAGCGTTCTTCAACTGCTCTACAGTATTTGGTTTGTTAGCATAAACCCTATTTTCCAAGAATCCCCATAAAAAAAGTAAGGAGCCGTTAAATCCTGTGACCTTGGTGGCCAGTTGACATCATCAAATCGAGAAATTAAACGTCCCGGAAATGTTGTTCGCAAAAGATGCATTGTTTCCCTAGCTGTGTGACAAGTTGCTCCGCCCTATGACAGTAAGAGAATTACATCAAAGAAGTAAGGTCCATTGACACCTCCATACCAAACACCGGACCAATGTGTGACTCGAGACGAGGATGTAGTAGTCGTTGATGGATGACACGAGGGTTCTCTAATGCCCAGATACGACAATTCTGCTTATTAACAAATCCGTTCATATCGAAATGGGCTTCATCGCTCATTATCAGTTGTCGGTAAAAATCGTTATTTTTGGTATTAAGTTGCAATATTGCATGACTTGTCGGCGACTTTCATGGTCACTAGGCTGTAGTTCTTGGGTTAACTGAATTTTGTTTGGTCGCAAATGTAAGTCTTTTTTTAAAATAGTGCATAATGACGTGCGACCAATACCCAGTTCTTGAGAACGATGTCTGGTAGACGTCTCAGGGCGCTCCACTACACTTTCATGAACTATCTCGATATTTTCCGGAGTACGAACACGGCCCAACCTTGGCAAGTTTTAAACTTCACGTGTTTGTTAATATTGTCGTAGCTTCCGAATCATTGCAACAATCGACTCATTTCTTTAGTAAAACGTTTTAACAATACGGACGCATTGTGGGATCGTGTAGCGCTCCATGATGAATTAGTCACGTATGCCTCAAACAACTATACTTGAATATTTGAATACGAAAAATGCCAAACAAAATCAAGTACACTTTAAGGATTTCAGTTAGCAACAATCACTATATCAATATCTATACAATACCCAATTAAAATGATATTTTACATGTTCACATCGGGGTTTTTTGTCAAGGGAAAGGTCCGACTTCCAGCAAAATCGGCTGCGAGATAGCTACAAGGCAGCTACAAAAAAAGTTGGAGGAGTGTGAATGGTGGTTCTCCGGAAGCCTTCACACTAAAAGGAAGCAGATATTGAACAAACTTCTTCAAGACATGCATTACTGAACGTGGTCCGATGGTATACAATAAAAAACTTACTGCTGATGCCTAAAATCCCATTAGAAAATGGACGGGGTAGCACCCAAACCAAAACAACTATACGTAAGGTACACAAAAAGGATGCACAACCAAAACTTGAACGGAAAGAAGAAAGAAAATGGCGCTGGACCCGTCTGCGTCTGTACACGCAAGTTTCTTTCTAAAACAAGGTATAGCATCTTGATAGGAAAAATATTCCTATACGGCTAGTATGTGAAGAAATCACAAGGTGGCGACGGTCGCCAATGGGCGGAACCAACTCTACGAGGGACCAACGATATTTTATGAGGAAATTTCTGAGATAGTCGTTAATGATACTATACATTAGTGACCAAAAGATTTTAACACAATACTGAATCACTGAGAAAGAAAGATATAATACGTGTGAAATTATACAATCAATAAACTACGAAATTTGCCAAAAGAAAATCATTGAAAAGGGTTTGACCTAGGAATGGCCATTAATAAAGAGAAATTCAACTTAGTGATAAGTGATCAAAATAGTAAAAAAAAGGTTAGTGATTTTGGCACATGACAAGTTACAGGGTCATACAATTAGTACATCGACATCCTTTCCCTGTCCTACAGGTAGTTACTGTCCATCTGGCAACGTTGTCTCTTTCCACATCTACACAGCAGAGCCTAGCGCGGCATCGCTACAGCGAGTTATTGCTCATTCCGTGCATGGTCCGTGCACACATATATATATATATATATACTAAGTGACATATAAATCCGGACACCCAGTTTAAATGGTTTTATTTTAATAAAAGTTGGTGAATGTATTTATCTTACTGTAAATAACAAGTGAAAAAATTTTCAGCCTTATCAGTTGGACATTCCGGTTTTTCTACTGCTTTTTTTTTAATTCACTTACGCTCTAAAAATGAATATTTCAGCCGCAGTAAAGAATCAACGTTGGCGGATTTTGGTTCTTGACATCCTTTACGATCGGTTACGATGCCTAGAGTACGGAGACCTGTACGATTTCGTCAACTTAGTGAGTTTGATAGGGGCCGTATAGTGGGACTTCGGGAAGCTGGATTTTCTTTTAGGTGTTGTCAGGCATGTCTTCGAGAAGGCCGTACGCAAAGAGCAAGGGGCACTGGACGCCGCCGTAGAACAACAGACCGTGAAGATCGCCGCCTAAGATTATTGGCCTTAAGGGACCGTTCCTCCACTACCAGGTCCATTGCAAATGAATGGTTTGCAGAACACGGAAGACCTATTGGCATGCGAAGTGTTTACCGACGAATGAGAAGTTTTGGCTTGTTTTCATACCGGCCACACTGGGTCCTCCCTTTAACTCGAGAACACCGACGTAATCGCCTTGAGTGGTGCAGACAACGGTCACTCTGGGATCAGGAATGGAACAGTATTGTCTTTAGTGGCGAGTCTCGATTTTGTTTAGGCATGCACGATGGTCGTGCCAGGGTTAGAATGCGACGTGGTGAAAGGAGGAATCCACAGTTTTCTGTTGAAAGACATGTTCATCACTCTGTTGGAGTTATGGTTTGGGGTGCTATAGCTTATGGTTCCAGGTCACCTTTAATCATCATCAGAGGTAACATGAACGCGCAGCGTTATATCCACGAAGTTCTAGAACCCCATCTTTTACCCTATCTTGACACCCTGGCAGATCCAACTTTCCAACAAGATAATGCCGGACCACATGTTGCAAGAGTCACAATAGACTTCTTTCAACATAATGATGTCACATTGTTACCATGGCCACCAAGATCTCCCGACTTATCCCCAATTGAGCACGTGTGGGATATGATGGGTAGGAGATTGCTCAATTTACAACGTCCTCCTCAGACTCTAGAAGCACTTCGAGAGGAGTTGGAGGTTGCCTGGAATGGGATACCACAGGAGGACATTGACCACCTGATCAGAAGTATGCCTAGGCGCGTTGAAGAATGCGTAGCACATCAGCGTGCATCCACACATTATTAAAGGTCAAAGGGCTTTAAAGCAGTGCAATCATTTTGAAATTTTTATCATTTACTTATTATGCTTCATTAAGTACTTATACAAAATTTTATTAAAATAAAACCATTTAAACTGGGTATTCGGATTTATATGTCACTTAGTATATATTTTTTGCGCTGCAGTGCAGTCAGATTGACTGGTCATCCGGACCGGTTCGCCGGGTGGTGTGCGTAGATGGCAGAAGTAGGCGAAACGAAAAGGCAAATGTACGAGGAAATTATGTCTCAAATATGGCTATTAGGTGCATAGGATTACCGGGATTGGGAGCGTATAAGTATACTAAGGTAAAAAAAAATCATATACCCTCTCCTACCCCCTACGACCTCCAACACCCCAATTTCAACCGCTACCAAAATATTTCTGAAAATGATCAGGACTCTCTGAAACGTCAAAAAAAGCGATTCCTGCTTCTCCGTTTCTGACTTCTCGTCCGTCGCCACTGAACCGATTTTCAAAAACTATAAAGATTTTTCATCCTCGGCATAATAGCAACCTTCATCAAAATCCGAGCAGTACCTCGTAAGTTATAGACCGGCTAAGAATTAGCGAATGAATTTTCGTGATGTATAACACCCAAAACCACAATATCTCATTTTCGACATTCTTCGCGATTACAATGTTTCCTCTCTCAGTAAAAACCGAACATCGCACATTCCTATAGCGACAACGAACTTGTCATTTAGTGTGAGTGTATTTGAGCTGCTGCAGTTGCTTCGGCAATGTATTCAGATTGCGTTAGATCGTTATTCTGCAGGTTTCCATCCCGCGCCGCTTAAGCTCATTTAAGTCGTAAAAGACCTTGACAGCCCAAGCTTAAAAGCCAATAAAAGTGCGTTTTTGAACGGAATGGCGACAACTTTTTTATGAGCCACACATGACTAAGCTGTTGCTGTTGATTTACCCCACATAAGCTTTGCTATTTTAAAAATGTTGTTTCTGAAAAGGGAAGCCCCGTCTTTCAGGTTACGATGAATAGGTCTGACATTATCCCAGCTTTTTACTGTTGTCTGAAGCAGAAGAGGTTACCTGATGTTTCAGCTACCAAACCAACAGATAAGGGGCCGTTCAAGTATTACGTAAGCAGATTTATTACAATTTTTTACTTATTTTAAATTTTTGGCACATATATTAAATTCAAATTAAGTCTTCAGTCCATGAAACCCGAATCCATGATTCTAAGTTTTCGATGATATTGGATTACTTCGATTGCTGCTCAGTGTTGCGAGTTTGCTCACTTTCATCGGATTTTGGAATGTCTACGTCGTTCTCATCGAGCCATTCAACATCATGGTGCTCTAAATTTTGAATAATGCACATCAGTTCATTAGCACGACGAGCGACTCTTACAGGTCTAACTTTCCTATCAGTGTGCATGTTTACTTTTTTATGGATATTTTCGATGTGACGATTT